ACCGCCCTTGGGAGCCCGTTCCAGACCTTGGCCACTCTAACTGTGAAGTTCTTCCTAATGTCCAGTCTAAATCTGCTCTCCACTAGCTTGTGGCTATTATTTCTTGTAACCCCCGGGGGTGCCTTGGTGAATAAAACCTCACCAATTCCCTTCTGTGCCCCCGTGATAAACTTATAGGCAGCCACAAGGTCGCCTCTCAACCTTCTCTTGCGGAGGCTGAAAAGGTCCAGGTTCTCTAGTCTCTCCTCGCAGGGCTTGGCCTGCAAGCCCTTAACCATACGAGTGGCCCTTCTCTGGACCCTCTCCAGGTTATGCACATCCCTCTTGAAGTGCGGTGTCCAGAATTGCACGCAGTACTCCAACTGCGGTCTGACCAGCGCCCGATAGAGGGGAAGTATCACCTCTTTGGATCTATTCGTCATGCATCTGCTGATGCATGATAAAGTGCCATTAGCTTTTCTGATGACTTCGTCACACTGCTGACTCATGTTCATCTTGGAGTCCATGGCATGGCATGGCAGAGCAGGCTGGGGAAGCTCGATGCCACTGCCAGAGGCAGGGGAAGCTCTGATTTTCTATGTTGAAAAACCCAAAATAAAATGCCAACATTTATAGATATTTTGAATTTATTCCATTATGGTGATTGAAACACTAGTTGGCTTCCAAACTGCTTTAAAATTGTAAATACATCAATAATATATTGTCTTCAACCAATACATATATATGTGGCATTTCATTTTAATCATGAAAGAACACGGATGTGGGGTTTTTAAATCAGAGAACAGGTGATTTTTGCCAGAGAATTTGCAATTCTTAAACAGAGAAAATCAGGATCACTGGTCACCAGCTTGTCCTTGAACAACCCAGGTTCTTCTAATAAAAACAGAACATGAACACGGGAATATACACAGAAGATGCTTGCCATCTGATGTGACTTAAGTAGTGAGAATAGGTGACTTTGGCTGCCCTGTTATAATACAAGATATTGTAATAAGAATTATGTAGTGGGTAGGACTCAAATATCACTTAACTGAAAGCATGGGGGGGCGCTCCAAGGGAGAAAAAGCTAGCAAATGCAGCATATCCTTAAGATGTACCAATAACAATTCAGATGAAGAAAGGAATGGGAAATTATCAATAGGTCATTTCATAATGATATCTTTTGCATCTCCAGGAACCAAGTGCAACAGAGAAAGCTCATTCTTGCTTCTGAGGTAAGAATACTGCCTCTTAAAGTGGCTCTTTAAGTATGCATGTTTGTTGGAGAGAACTGGCCGTGGGCACTAGCATTGGCGACATGTAGGGGATGCATGTGCACCCCCTGAGATTGGCCATGCACCCCCTGGAAGTGCACTTCCAGTTTCACTGGCTCGGCAACCGGCTGCTGGGGGACCACCCCG